GCAGGGGGAAGTAATTAGGTTCATTCATTTAATTATTTATTTAATGGAGGTACTTGGGATTGAACCTGGGACCTCATACATGCCAAGAATTTGCTTTACCACTTGAGCTATACCCTCCCCACCAAAGGTGCACAAGTTTTATAGATGTTAGGGGCTGTGAATGTAGGAGATAAAACACAGCTTTAAGATTCAACCAGGCCTGTGTTTAACTCTCAGTTCTACCATTTACTATGTGACCTTGAGAAAGTTGCCATATCTCCCCAAGGTCAGATTCTTTACCCATAAATACAATGCAATACCTACTTTGTAGGTATACACATACTGTATGTGCTGAGCTTAGTAGGAATTCAATAAATAGTAATATTACCCTAGGTATCCAAAGATGTTTGCTGAATGAATGTTTGAGTTGTATAACTTCTTGTTTTGAAGGGAGCATTAAGATTATAAAATTTATTTTTGTCATTCTGAAATTATTTGGGATGTCTAGTCTCATATTTTTAAAAAAATCTGTTGGTTTATTCCCACTTTGCCAGTGAGGAAACTGAGGTTTAAAGAAGTGAAGTGAACAACCAAACAACCCAATTGAAAGATGGGCAAAAGAGCCAAACAAGAAATTCTCCAAGGAAGACATACAAATGATCAATAGGCACATGAAAAAATGCTCAATATCACTAATTATCAGAGAAATGCAAATCAAAACTACAATGAGGTATCACCTCACACCAGTCAGAATGGCCATCATTCAAAAATCCACAAATGACAAATGCTGGAGAGGCTGTGGAGAAAGGGGAACCCTCCTACACTGCTGGTGGGAATGCAGTTTGGTGCAGCCTCTGTGGAAAACAGTATGGAGATTCCACAAAAGACTAGGAATAGACTTACCATATGACCCAGTCATCCCACTCCTGGGCCTATATCCAGAAGGAACCCTACTTCAGGATGACACCTGCACCCTGATGTTCACAGCAGCACTATATACAATAGCCAAGACATGGAGACAGCCTAAATGTCCATCAATGGATAACTGAATAAAGAAGATGTGGTATATTTATACAATGGAATACTACTCAGCCATAAAAACTGACAACATAACGCCATTTGCAGCAACGTGGATGCTCCTGGAGAATGTCATTCTAAGTGAAGTAAGCCAGAAAGAGAAAGAAAAATACCATATGAGATTGTTCATATGTGGAATCTAAAAAACAAAAACAAACAAACAAAGCATAAATACAAAACAGAAATAGACTCATAGACATAGAATACAAACTTGTGGTTGCCAAGGGGGTGGAGGGTGGGAAGGGATAGATGGGATTTTAAAATTGTAGAATAGAGAAACAAGATTACACTGTATAGCACAGGGAAATATACACAAGATCTTATGGTAGCTCACAGAGAAAAAAATGTGACAATGAATATATATATGTTCATGTATAACTGAAAAATTGTGCTCTACACTGGAATTTGACACAACATTGTAAAATGATTATAAATCAATAAAAAATGTTAAAAAAAAAAAAAGAAGAAGTGAAGTGATTGTTCCAAGGCCACACAGCTAGTGATAGAGTTAGAGATTAGGTCCAGGTCAAGGCTCGAGCTAATTAAAAAAAAATTATAAACAATTGCTCTATCTATCAAATGACATCATGAAGCATTTAAACTGAGAGAATCTGTAAGTTTCCTTCAGTTACAGGTCTCCTACAGTCAAAAGGTCAGTAGGTGGAATAGAAAGTGCTGTGGGTAGGCCTGTAGTCTGAAGATGCAGGTTCTGGTCCTGTTCACACTCAAGTCCCTCACATGAAGGGCAAGAGTAATCATGAAATGTCATGATTCCTTATTTCATGCAAAAATTCTAGATAAAATTAATATCTTCACAGAATCACTTTTCTTCCAGGATACCATAAACTCTTACAGGGCAGGGATGCTGCCAGTTTTCTGTCTTGCCCACAGCATATATCACAGTGGTTTGAAATCAGGAGAAGAGGGAATAAAAATGTGTTGAAGGAATGAAAGGTTGACTGAGTGAACGAAAGAATGTCTTCTGTTTCCTTTTTCCAGCTTCAGCTTGCTCCCTACTTCTTGCCTTTTGGCTGGGGAAGGGATAACTGTCACTCAAGCTGGGCTCTAGGGTAGGAAACAGGTTTGTCATGGAAGGAAACTGAAGATGCTGCATTTCTATTGGAGATTTACTCTCAATTTCCTATCCGACTGTGAGAGCTTCCTGAGTGGTATGCAGAAGCCTGCCTTATTCAGTTTTGTTTTAGCTGTGGCTCAGCTCAGAGACTTGGTACCGGCTCTAGAGAAGCCCTGGAGGTAGAGCAGGAGGGGAGATTTGAAGAAGCAGCACCTCAGGCTTAGTTTGGGCCCCACAGAGCAGGACAGCACAACTTTCCTATCCCTAGACTTCTCTAGAGTAAAGGTGGCCTTGTGGGTGGGGTATAAATAAAATGGGGAGCTAAGGTATGTCCTCCTGATTTTGAAGGAAATCTTTCTTCCTAAAGCAGGGAAAAGTCAGCTTCTCCAGGAAACAATAAGGAGAATTTTCATGTTGTAAATAACCTGAAAATCTGTATTTCATTCAATCAAGAACAAAAAATCGGATACTGTCCAATCTAGATCCATTTTATGTATATAATACTTAGAATTTCTTTCCTTCTTCCTACTCCTTTCTTCTTTTTCTCGCTTAAAATTTTTTTAACATTTTTTATTGATTTATAATCATTTTACAATGTTGTGTCAAATTCCTTAAATTTCTTTTTGTTGTTGATTTTTGTTATTGTTATTCTGTTTTGTTTTTGTTTTAAAAGCAGTCCTTTTCTAGATTGGATCAAGAAACAGCTCGCCAGGCTGGGAGGATCTGGCCCATACTGAGAAGTAAAGGGGTTTTCTAAGCTCAAATTTCTTTCTTTTTAAGTATCCCCCCACTCCAACTCCAAGAGACTACAGAAATAATTGATCCATCATCCAGTACCAGGCCCAGGAGATTTACATGCAAATTCCCCCTCTCCTCTCCAAAACCTCCTCTCAAACTTAAAATCCCAGAAGGAGGAAAAAGAAGAAAACCTTTTTAAACTAGCCAGAACCCTGCTGGCCACCACTACCCACCCCCAACCAGGTGAGGGAAGTATGTGTGTGTTGGGGGGTGGGGGGGGGTTAATCCACCACAACCCCCGACCCTGCAGCCTTCTCTCTCACCACACACACCACCCCTTTCCTTTCGGGTGTGGAATCACTTAAGATTTGGGTAAAACTCCCTTCTCTCCCTGGAGACTTTATCTGGAAGTTTTTGGGCGGCGGGGGCAGCGGTGGGGAGAGAGGAATTAATACCCTCAAACGGCCTAAAAGAGTCATCTCTTCACTCAAAACTGCTCGTCCTCCCCAACCCACCCCCACCCCTATTAACCTTCGATTAAGACCTCCTCGTTATGGCAACTAAACTTTACTTTGCATAATTAAGATTTGCCTCGGAAGAAAGGGGAAGGAGAAGCCGCAGCTCTGAGCCATTCTCCTTCACCTCACCCCCTCCCACCCTCGCCCCAACCCTCCAGCTCAGGGCCTCTGAGTTCCTGAGTTTTCTCACTTTGAGGTGCCACCGAACACAAAGAACCATAATGGGCTCCTTTGTGCTCGCTACGGGGCAATTACGCCCCGGAGTCCAGGCCCCTTTAAGAACCTCTTAAAGAGATAGGGTCTCATTTTCAGAGGGTAATTTAAGGGTGTTTGTAGGGTGAGGGACAAGGTAAACTCCTAGGGGTCTACATCTAGGGAGACATGAAACTTTTGTCTGGATTCCTTGAGAAGGGGCTAAGAGAAAATTCTCTGTAAACTGTTAGTTTTTTTTTTCTTTTTTTAAAAAAAATCTTCCTTAAAATTTTTTTTTCAAACTCAAGATTTTTTACTTGATCTGAAAAATTACACTGGGATAGGTGGGATTCAAGGAGCGGAGGCGGAGGCAAGGATTTAAAGAGGCCCTACCCGGGAGGCCGCCGTGGCCCCCGGAAGAAGAGTGATCCGGGGTTGAGTGACTTGGGTCCACCGCAGTGCTGGGGAACGTGAGTCTCCGGATCTCGCCGCTGCGACTCCGGAGAAATCCCGTGCTGGGCAAACAACCCTAAATATAATAATAGCTTGTCTCTTTAAAAAGCAAAAGGAGGGGGGAAAGTTTTGTTGGCATCTGGTTTCTGATCTCATTATGTTGTGGTCGACCAATCCAGCCCTCGGGGCTGGTCCTCGGGTTTAAATCTTATTGGCCAAGAGCACATTTTGGGATGGTTCTTAGAGCTCGACGGGGCGGTTTCAAGGATCCCTTTTTTGGGGGTCTGAAGAGAGGGCGGGGCCGCCGGCGGGGGCCCCCTTGAAACCGACTAATTGGGATTGGAGAGGCCGAGGTGAGGGCTGGAGGGAGGCACAAAGGAGTCGCTGGGCGGAGAAGGGAGGGGAGAGGCGAAAGGAGGAGGAAGAAGAGGAGAGAGGGCTAGCCGCACTTGGTATCTTCGGCGGCTCAGTCCGACCTCGGCAAGCTAGCAGGCAGGCGCGCCTCCCCCCTCCCCTGCCCGGCCTCCCCACTCTGAGGCCGC